GCAGATCAACTTCAACTGTTTTCTTATTCATGGATCTGCAAGATAAAGGCAATAATCGGCCTGATAGCTCATCCTTGTGAATGTTTCCTGAAGTTTTCCCCAATTTGATCATAAATGTGGAGGGCAGTGCTGCTTCCCTGTATCCTTTGGGATACTACTTCATAAACTAATAATTATCTTACAAATCCAAGATGCAACCAGCTTTTACCTTTCTCACTATGGGAAACCACATCCCCTCCAGCAGTATCCCCTTCCTTTTGTCACCCGTGCCCTCCCCATATGCTCTTTTCAATCAGTTTCTCATATCTTCAATCTAATTTCAAATTGTTCCGTGGGTGGGGCAGGGGCTTGCCTTCCCCACTCCCTGCCTTCGAAATACCAGGCTCTCCTGCCTCTTTACAGAAAGACTAAGATGTCTTTGGTGAGCTCAAACAAGATGCAATTGAGAGTAATTTATCAGACTGATAGAAATGCAAGCAGATATAATAATGTGAACTTATTTCTAATTATGCAAATCATTATGTAAAACAGGCAAATGCATAATTTCCCCCCAGGCTCCTGGCATTTCTCCACTAAGCTTTAGGGAGTGCAAATTTTGATGTTCTTAGCTCAATAGCCTGTCTGATCATGTAAGACTGTATGTAAGTAAGCTTCAAAATGTCGAGGTTAAAAGTGTGATAAAAGTTGTTTACTATAATTAACTGGGACGAATCTCACAATTCAGGGGATCACATGGGACTTGGGCAGAGGTGGTTAGCAGGACAGCCAGTGAGGTGAGGGCCAGCAAGTGTCTGCAGGTGGAAGGAGAAGGGGGAAGCAATGGCCTTTGTTCTTCTGAGGGTAAGGAGGGCTGGAAGCCTTGCAACAGGTAGTCTGAAAATGTTCTCCCTCAGGCACTCAAAATAAGTGGTGGGGCAGGGAGGGGGTGTTTTGTTTTGGTTTCCCTCCCCCCATGGGAAGAGTTTTCTATCAGATGGGATAGGAAACAAGGAAAATTATACTGGCACCATTTAAGGAGGTTTTAAAACTGCAGAAAAAGACATCATGTAGGGATGCCACTCCTCACTTTGACTTGGAAGTTGAACTGGATTTATTTTTAAATGAGTAAAAGGACAGATAATTGTTCCTAACAATTCCTCCCTATGCACAGTAGTCTACTTAGACACCTCCAGAGCTGGTATCAACACCTGAAACTGTAAATTTATTCTGGAATCTTGGACTTGCCAAGACTTTGCTTGTGAAGGTTCATTGCTGGTAGGCCATGTGGCATTCTCAGAACAATAGCAGTAAGGAGATTTTTAGAGAAATCCTTCTGAACTGCGATGTGGTTGCAATAGAGGACTTCTCAGATGCTGCAAAGTCTTGTGCAGCACGTTTTTTCTGGGTGACTGACAACCTGGCTAAGGGTGGCTGCTGTGCTTATGTGCTGATGAGAATCCCTCCTGTTGTGAGGAAATTTAAGTAATTTTGCAGGCTGCTGTTTGAAATGTGGCTGATGCTGCTTAAAGAGGTTCTGGGTGCTTTGGAGTAACCTTGCATTCCAGAATCTTGGAATTTTGATGCTGCTTTCTTTTCTTTTTTCTTTGTTTTTTTTTTTTTTCTTTTTTTTCTTTAATGTCCCCTGAAAGCTGTCAGAACGTCTTAGGCTGACCTAAAAACCTGGCATTTTCCCACACTT